ATATATATATATATATATATATACATATGTGTGTATGTATGTAATGTATACAAAGGTCTCATCGCCCGTACAAATTTTCAGTCGGTTTCACGGCGTCGCGATATGCCGCGGTCAAATTTCCCTACTATTATACCCTTCTTGCCGCAAACAACGAGAAAACAACGAGATGTCCCGTGTGTCCGTTCACTCGGTCCGCATTCATGCACACGTGTGCGAACGCGCAAGCGCGCCGGCGCGTCCGTATCTTTCACACAGCACAGTTACACATACGCTCCTTATTGTGGTGCAAAGTCTCAACATATACAGCATATATATATTTATATATACATATACATGTATGTGTGTGTATATATGTATATATATGTATATATATATATTTTTTTTCTCACCAAGTCTCTTACGGTCTCGCGTTTCGAGTCGCTCGATATACGCTATTGGGAGAAGCGAGAATGCTCGCATTCGCGCGTGGTACCCGTCCCCCGCCTCTCTCTCTCTCTCTCTCACCCCCTCTATATTCCCTCTTTCACCCCCTCTCTCTCTCTCTCTCTCTCTCCGCTGTTTTCGAAGCTAGATAGAAAAACTTTACAGACATTCGACAGCGCGCACGACGCGAGAAAGAGAGAGAGGATCCCCCAGGGGACGGTGTCGATACGTACGCGGCCGATTATTTTTCCCGGCAATAGCGAGACACGCGACGACGACGACGACGACCGGTGATTTTACAGTAATAATAATAATAATAATAATAATAATAATAATAATAATAATAATAATAGTAGTAGTAGTAATAGTAAAACTGAAGATCCGCGCGAAAGTAGTCGTGTGGAGAATTTGCGTGGCTACTTGCGTGGCTGGCGGCACGCTCATTTTGGTACACGGTAATAGCGCAGTACGAGGTAGCCCAGGGTCCGGAAAACGATCAGGAACGCCAGGAGCACCGCCGTGTTCGCCCACATCGGTAGACCGGAGCCCCTGGCCCCGCCTTGACTCTCCAGAATCGCGGAAACGGGTATCGTCGTGCCGTTTCTGCACTCGGCGAATTTACTCGGTTGCGAGCATCTGTCGTACAGAAGATTACGCGCTCGGTCAGTACACAGCGTGTGCCTCCGTGGACGTTCGCTTTTTCTTCTTCTCATCATCGCCTAGAATCTACAGTCTACCCAAACTATTTCTTTCTCTTTCTATCTTCTACTTTATCGATTTCTCTTTCACCTTTTCCCTTTCTACCTTTCAGTGCTTCCGCTTTTTTCCTACTTCTTTCTCTATCTTCCTTCTTATTTTCCATTCCAACAACGTCCGAATAATTTTCGAATAATATCCATAATGAAAGGGTACAGCCAATTTAAACCGACGAGTTATCGCGTTCACTTCGCACTTAGGCGTATAAATAGACTTTGCCGCTGCAGCTTTTTGCGTTCGATCTGCTCGACTATGTTTCACGGATTTCGACTTCGAAAGAGAATCAAACTCAATAATCGCGCGACTCAGAGTAGGAAGGCGAGCGACATTACGACAGTCATGAAGCGATACCTCGTATGTGCGAGACCAGGAGCTATCGGGAGAGATAAAGGAAAATTTCTTGAAAATTCATTCCGCCCCGAACGATTTGCTTACTTTTTAACACACTCCCCACGTTAAGGTGATTTGTTTATAAGACGGTTCGTAAGACAAAATTTTTCACCGTGCACGAGCTCTCTCGCGGGTCGAGAGGGAAGGTACATTCCGAGTTCGCCGGATTAAAAGCTCGAGAATGGTGAATTTTGGCGAATACGAGGTATCGCTTCTCGGCTAGAGTGAAAGTTACATGTGTGTAATAGCCTTACGTGATCGGTTCGCCGACGCCGAACTCCAGAATCTGCATGTTCTGATAGGCGTAGTGCACCATACTCGCGTATCGGGCCCACGCTAACCACGGTGGGACCGCCGTCGCCAGGTAACCGCCCAAAAGCTGCGTCGCGAGTGTGTAGAGGGCGGACGCGGTAATGCTCACCTGCAGGTCCAGGCAGCACGCGCCCACGAAGAAGCCGACACTCTGTAAGCGTGTCGTGATATTGAGAGGTCGCGATGATCGGGGGAAGAGGTCGGCGAGATAAGGCGGTTCGCGTCGATATATTCGAATAACGCACCAGGCTAATCCTGTTCTTGGCTTAGTCGATAACTTTCGGGGGCGAGGGGGGGGGGAGGGAGGGCGGTGACTCATAAATAAGCGTGCTGCATCGCGAATTCCCAATCACAACGATTCCGACGTTTCCTCTTGCGTGCTTTTCACGCGAGGTTCTTATTACGTATACTATGAAAAGAGCTCAGACAAAACAATGCGAATCGAGTTAAACGAACTCAATCTCCGGGTTACGTGTAGAGCACTGACCGCCATGTACTTGATACAATATACATATATATGATGATTAATAATTATATATATTAATATATCGATTTGGATAATTATAATATATCGAGAGAAATGATATGCGCGAAGTCGGAAGTTTTCAAAAGGGACAAAGCAAATGCTTTGAAAATTTATTTCGATCTGAACAATCAAATTTCTCCGTATTCTTCAGTTTGTTTTTTTTTTTAAGATTTCAAGCGAGAAGTATAGCATTTTTAACAAATCGAGAGAGGCAAAATCCGAGTTCGCCGAACTAAAAATCCAAAAATGGCCATTTTTGCTGATACGCAGTATCACTTCTCGCCATCGATATATGATGATTATTAATAATTCTTCTAACGAAATTTCGATAGTGTTTTAACTTCCTTCACATGAAGCAAGCTCAAAATTTGGCTCCGCAATGCGAAATTGTAATTCTGAAACGTGGTTGCCTTTTCCCCGATAATTTCCCTTTCCGCTTTCCCGATGTGTATGTTTGTCGATTCACACTCCCGCTTTTACGTGCTCTATCCGTGTACGCGATAGCCACGTGAGATTTAGCGCGAATCGCAATGGGACGGAAACGCACGTACCTGCGCGACCACGGTGTTGAGCAGTAAGAACAAGAGCAGCGTGACGAAGACCGCCGGACTGTGGAAGCCTAACATCGGGTAACTAATGATATGGTAGACCGCGGGCAGCGTTACCGTCAGCGGCAGCTCGCCGACCATCTTCGCCAGGTAGTAGGCCGAGAGCCGATAGGATCCTGACAGGCGCTCCTTGTTGATCACCTCGCGCTCCGGGGGAACTGGAAAAACGCGTCGTCGCGTGTTATTTTCAGAATTATCCCCACATCTCTCTCTCTCTCTCATTTCTTTCGTCACCGCGACGCGACGCGCTTTATGGCGACTCGGAGGTGATGCTAAAATCGGTTTTACATCCTCGCCATCGCTCGCCGTAGTTTCATGTTCCTCGCGCTTTTACCGTCATCATCGCCGTTCGTCCGTCCCAACGGCCGATTTCGCGGCGGGTCGTTAAGCCGGTAATTTCCACAGCGAAAAGCGAAATTGCGCTTTCATCAATCGTGGATTCTACGTTGATTCATGTTCAACCTAACGGATCGGTCGATAGATCATTTCGATGTATCTCCGCCGCGAAATCACTCGGTAACGCCGAGAGATTACCGGATTCATCGGAGGCAACGGGTGGTCTCAGCTTTCGAACGCAATTTGCTTCACACCGCCGCGACCTTTATACGCGGAGATATCGACGGAGCGGCGATTCTCAAACGGAGACCCGACGACAACAACGTTGCACGCCGCCCGCTTCTCCGCAACCGGGCGCCGGAGGAGGGGGAGGTGTGAACGCACTACAATGTGCTACACGCGCGCTGCCGGTCGCCGGCGGAGAACAATCGCACGCTGTCTTTGGAAACCTCAGATCCTCCCGACGTTCGCATCTCGGCGGAAAATCGACGTAGGAACGTGAAACGCCGATCTCCTCGCGTCCATACTCGGCGCGTATGCTCTCGTTACGACACGTGTGACGTGTCTGGGTTATTAATCATCATGAAAAAATGAAATGAATCATCATTACTTGTCTCACATAAGCCCGGATACCCGTATATCTAAATTGGAAAAATAGAGATTTAAGTTTTCCGTCTGAATCATACACGTGACGTTGTATCTGTAAGTGGGATTTGACGTGGAAAATTCGCGTCTGAATTCTAAATTCAAATTTAAATATCCAACATGAAGTAAGTTTCAAATGACGACTGGTAATACCAGCTGACCTACGATCCGTATTAATAGTCGTTATTTAACCATTTGAGTGCTGAATCTTTTTCTTATATGGGTTAAATTTGCTGATCTTAATTTGTACTGAGAGTATGAAAAAATAGTATGATGGGGAAAAATTTTAGGTTATGTATTAAAAGATCGATATATCGACTTTCAGCATTCAAACGGTTAATTTGTCACACGTGAGATATTCAGGGTATCTATTGTAATTGAGCCGTTCTCCGATCGAACATTTTTTTCGAACGGTCTCATAATAGATATTCCGATCTCGGGATTGCGAGTTAGATTTTGAGTTCGAGTTATATTTGACCTTTTCATTCGAATTCTATTGAGGGAAAGATGGTTATTGCGGCCTCTCATTTTACATTTTGCACAATAAATTTGTCAACGATCAATATTCTAAATTGAGAATCGAACGAAGTTACATTCGTCGAAATGTCGTTCAACCGATTCTACGGCCGAAGTTATGAACAATTTCTGACTCAGGATGTTATTTACAAAAATGTGGCGATATTGCGATAACGGATCGAAGGGAAACGAGAGGGCGAGTTTTTCCGCGCGCAATTGCCTCTCGAAATCCGCGCGATTACATTTTCCGTCGCGGCTTCCGCAGTCTCGTTTCGAAAACGTGTCGATTCACCGCGAATTTCGATTTGCTCCGCGACGCGTATCGGTTTATTCTCGCGCCATTTACCACGGTATTGTCACCGAGTCATTGTCCGGGCATAATCGGTCCGCATCTCGCCGCAATGGAAATTTCATCATCCACTGCGGCGGAATTCCCAGCGCGTGGGCGTTCCGTGAGAGTGGGAATTAAGTTCGACTCACAGCTGGAGAGGGCGCCGAAATGCGCGAAGAGCATCCAGTACGTGGTGCTGAAGAACATCCAGCCTTGGATGTCGTGGAGGGCCGCTTCTGTTCGGGGAAGCCTCAGCCAGAGAAGCCCGGCGAGGAGTCCCAGTGCTATCGTTTGCAACCAATTTAAACGCGACAACATCCGTGGCCGTGCTTCTTGAAAGTTCCTCTCCGTTAATACCTGCAACATCACAGAGGGCGACGTTCGCCACGTAATGCAACACCTCTGACCGTTCGTGGCGACGCGGGGCGACGTCGGCGAGGAGGAGGCGCGGCTCTAACGCGCAGCGACGAAACGCCCGGACGATATCGGCGTCCGTGAGGAAATAGAACGCGAAGTTTCACAACGCCGGCGTCGAAGGTCTTTTTGAATAATAATAACCTGCGACACGATGCGCATACGGAATGTCGCGCCTCAAGTATCGCGCGCGCGGAAGGCTATTTTTCGGCTTATTTTTTTATGTCCGTCGGGTCAAGAGGAACAAAGGCCACGGGGATTGATATTCCGCGTTTCGGTCGGTGTGTGTTTGTCTCGGCGGGAAAGATGAGAAAAAGTAACATCTCTCACTCAGACATCGAAGTAGTGACCGAAAGTGGCGTTTTCCGCTTCAAATTCTGAATGCAACCGAGGCCGAGCAAAAACGCAAACACTCTTACACATTTTCCGAAATTTATCTGCGTGGATAACTTAACACGTAGCGGGAGTTATTTTCAAAATACGGCTTGAAAGTTCATAACAAGAACAAATCAAGGGCATGAATGATACGATACAGGTATGCTTCCGGAGCAGTTTTTTGTTAAGAGTATAGCAAAAATGTACAGGGCAACTCCGGTATATACGCCGCACCTTAAGGAGAACTTAATTTATCAAGTATTATTTATTATGTTTAAGGCAAATGAAATATACAAATCAAAACTGTATACTCCGCACTACTATAAAAAGAAATGAAAATGCGAAATATTTATTTGTTACATTTGACAGAAAAACTATTAAAAACCCTTGTATTTTTGCCACACGTCCCGTAGGGGTTAGCTAGAATGTCCATATTTTACAAATCTAACGGTAGCTCGGAAAAAAAAGGTGACTATAATGACATATGTTAGGGACGATAGTGAATTTTTAATGACTCGTCAAGAAACGGTGACAAAAGGTGGCTCGAGTAGCTTGGATGGCAGCGCCGCTGTTATCGCGACTGACCGCACACATTCGTGTGAACGAATCAGCTGCGTTAAAACTCGGCCGAGACAACCGAGAAGAGCGATTGTCCGAGTAGAGAAACCCTCTACGGAAATCTTTCCGCTCCTCTTTCGAAAATTCTTCAATCGCACCGGAACGGAATGATTTTTTTTCCCGCGTAGGCCGCGTGAAGAACGCGTTCCGGCGAGGTAAAAGTGACGCGAGCGACGTCGCGCGTACAAAGCGATTACGAACGGTCGCACGTAATTATCCGGATATGGTGAATCGCGGCGAACGCGACCCAGTTCTCCGTGCGCGGCTTTCCGCCGCCGTGCTTCTTTCCCGCGACACGTTTACACGCACATTGCGCGTTTCCCTCGCACGTCGCCGCCGCACCACCTACGAGAGACACCGCGACGCGTCGTCCTTCCAACCGGGAATAATCGATTCGACGAACATTAATCCACTTGCATGTTCTTAGCCGCGTCCGCGATGAATAATCGATAGGTTGCGCGACAGACTCGATCATCTTGCGATTGAGCGCCGTCAAGAGTCGCGTCGGACTCGGAGAATCGCGCAGACGTCGCGCTGTCTCGGAGCGTGCACGAGATGAATATTATTTATTTCACGTGCGATTATGTTAATATAAGGCGTAATGATAAATAAATTTGATCTACCGGACAATGGACATTTTCGTTGAGAGGAACACAATTTCTCGTTGTCATAAACTATATTGAGTTCTTCTCTCAAGCAGAAGTTCTGTTTCCTTCGACTAAAATTTGTTTCGTTGCCCGTTGTCAGGTAGATCCAATCAGATTCACTTTTTTCGTGAATACGTTCAGTAAGTATTCTTCTATGTGCGCGGAAAAGAAAGATATCTTCGATACTGTCCGTTTGAAACGCATTAATTTCCTTCTCCCTTTGTATACATTAAAAGGCCTGTACACATGACACTGCGTGCAATTTTACGATTGCATTTCGCTCTCCGCTTCCGTCCTCCGCTGCATAGAGAAACGGCGAATTAATGTGTCAGCGGCCGGTGCTTCGGGCAGAAGCGAGGAGCGCTTGAGCGACCGGAATATGCCGGCATTGTATCCGCTAATTGCTGAAAACATTCGCGGATATCGTCGTACTCACTTTGAACTGCGACCAGAAGCTGGTGGGCCACTGCCAGGAATAGTCGTCATCGGCAGAACTCGCGCTGCTGCTGGCGTGGCTTTGTGTGTCCAACCATAGCGTACGGCCTTCGTCTTCCTTCACTGTAAAAGCGCCGGTGAAATGGCCGGTTAGAGGAGCGTTCGAGAATCGTGCGCATCGTCGAATCGATAAATATGCGCGAGTAGGTACGGTGACATGGTTGAAAGAGGAGAGAGAGAGAGGGAGGTAGCAGGAGAAAAGAGAGAGAGAGAGAGAGAGAGAAATCGATGTCAATTATCTTACGTGACGCTTTTCTCAAAAATGTTAGCTCATGGCTTGTTATTGTAATCCGCTCCCCTTTCCCATTCCTGAATAACTTGGAATTATTCTAAATAATTTATGCATCGAAAGCAAAAATTCCTGCGAAAGAGAAGATACTTTTTGTCCGCTCGGATCCGAATAACATACTTACTTTTACATCGAAAAAATTTTTTCCAAATAAAGAGACGAAGAAGTATACATTTTGTTCTTTAAATCATAGTATTTTTCGCGAAGAGGCAACTGTTCGTTCCATCTAAATAAAAGAAATTTAGATTGGAGTAAATATCATCGAGTGTTGCGCCGAGAACGCGAGGGCAGGTAAAGTTCTCCCGTGGGGATTGATACGTCGCGCGCGTGTTAAAAAAGCTTTTAAACACCGGCGGTGCGGTTGTCCGTCTCACGCGATTCGCAAAGCCGCCCTTCCACCACAGCCAACGCAGAGCCGGACAAGGTACATTGAGAGACACTCGATCTCCCTCTCTCTCTTCTTCTCTTCTCTTTTTCGCTCTTTCTCCGGCGGCGAGCGCATTTCCAGCGGCTACGTCGGAACCGCAACGGAATCGGCCGTTAGAGCCGGGGGAGAAGGTCTAGGTGTGCATACATATAAATACGTATTATCGTGGGGCGGCTCTGCATACTATATAATACCGTTGTGGCTGATGTGGTGCTCGTGATAATGGATGAGATGGTCGCAGAGCGGATGTTGGCTGGGATTATACTCCGGACGAAGTTCCGGTGGGCAGTCGGGTCCCTGTCTTGCGGCTCTCGCCGCGGCAACGATACGCTCTCGAACCTCCTCTGGTCCCTTGATTTGCTCCACTGAAACGAACAGGCCGTGTCTCGTGCAACATTGGAGGTGCGGCCGCTGGGGCTGTGACTCGAATTCGCGGTCAACGTCTAATCTGCGTTATCGCGTACGCTCGGGTTACATATCGCCGGCGAAAATATTATTATCTCGGATGACACCGACTATCCGACGATAGAAACTGCACGATGAAAGTCGAATCGATAAGGGAAACGGTGAGGGAGAAACCGCGCCGAGAGAGTGTACTTACGAATGAAATCTGCGGGGTTGTAGTGCGGCAGCAACGTGAGCCCTATCGTGCAGAAAAATCTGCCGATATTCGCCGTCGAGCCGTAGTACGCTACCTGGCCGCGGCTCAGCAGGAGCAGCTTGCTGAAACTGTGGAACATCCTGGAACTTGGTTGGTGCACCGTCACCACGATGCTCTTGCCCTCCTGCTCGGCATACTTCTTCAGCCGCGAGATCAATGCCTGTGCCGAGTGCGAGTCGAGCCCGCTCGTGGGTTCCTGAAATCGCGGTGAAAGAAATTGCCAAGTTAGCGAACACCGCGCGGACACGGAGCGCGGGGAGGGTTTCGTCCATCCCTCGGGATATTTTCCCCGGATGTGTTTCCGATGCGGAATACACCGACATGGAAATATCCGATTAAGATGCAATGAGATTCGAGACACAAGCGCGCGGGATTAGGAAAGAGAAGGAAAGAAGAACAGAATGTGGAAAGAGCTTACGTCGAGCAGCATTAGCGATGGATTCGTGAGTAATTCGCAGGCTATACTCGTCCTCTTCTTCTCACCACCGGAAAGTCCTCGCTTCGTGTAATCTCCGATAACTGTAGAAAGGAGATATCGTTGATGCTGTGTTTGGCAGAGAGAGAAAATAAGAGAAAGAAATGCACACGCCTATCGCGCTATACGTGCAACTTGTTTTTATCTATTGAATAATATTATCGTACAAAGACCAACGCTCGGTTCTTATTACCCTTTTCTCCCACATTAACCTATTAAAATCCACGGCTGTAGGCCAGTAAAGTTAGCAAATAAACAATAATTGGAAATAAGACCGGAGGATGAAAATATTTTCAAAGCGATGTTTCTTACACTCCTATTTCCATTTGTTGTTTTTTTTTATTAACCTTACTGGCCATGGATTTTAATGGGTTAATGTTTTATCTCAGAGTCTTTCTATATACAGGGTGTCCCAGCATAATGAAAACATCTAAATATCTCGGAGGCTTAAGCATGGTGATTAAGAAAAAAAAATCGAAATAAAATGAACGTAAAAAAATTTTCCTTCCACCGTATCCCTCTTTCGAAATCACTCAAGAATTGGGCTGTAACCATTTCTCATTAGAAACAAAAACGATTTTCGGGTGTTCTTCTTATACCGGCGCACCCTGTACATTCATATTTATAATCTATTTTAATCTACCTAACGTAGAAAGAGCCTGTCGGAAATGCGCGGACGTGCAAAACGCGCGCACAAAAAGCTCGAGAGATCTCCCTTAATGAAGAGAGGGAGGGGGGGGGGGATATCGCGAAAATTACGGGCGATCGCGATTCACGCGCGGTACTGCGCTTTTCACCACCGGCACGGGAAAAAGGGGCCGTTTGAAAAGTTGAAGAGATACGACTCGCCGCGAACAATAAAGAGTCAAAGGCGTTTTATTAGTCTCCGTGCGAGAGCCCACGTTTCGCGCGCGCGCGGCTGAAGATAACGGAATTACGATCGTCGATATCGGCGAAAAAATCCGCGCTAAACAATAACGGATAATAGTTTTCCATGGGCGATCGGCCGCGGCAGCGCGCGTTGGCGTCGCGATTCGGCCGACGCTATCTGGAACTAATGAGACGCGCGGCCGCGATCCCCGATGCGCAGTAAATTATTAACTTCATCGTCGCCGTTTGCGCGCGCCTCTCGCACGCCCGCTCGGTGGGACACACAGGAAGAGAAACGAACGTAATTGCGGGGAATAATATTTTACGTCACGGCGCGGCGGCTTCCCGCTCCTCCACGCTCGCTCTTTCTCGCGGCACTCGAGAAGCTCGGCCGGGTTAACGATCGAGGAAACCGTTTATCAACGACCGACAATGAGCCCGACACTTCGCGGAGATACCGTGTCCGTACTTTCCCTCATTTGTATTCAGGAAAATGTCACCGCGCTTCCGCCAGCGGAGCTGAACTCCGTTTCGTCGCGATCGAGCTGGGCGCGACGTACGATGAAGAGGCGACGCGAGAAGAAGCTGTAAAAACGTCGGCTCAACGCATCGCCGCCCGCCGGAGACGCGAATCGAAGTCTCTGCTTTTCGAAGCCTCGAGGAAAACCGGAAACGCCGTTTTCAGAGGGGCCGCGCGGTACGCCTGTCAATTTTGTTCGCCACCTTCCCTTCCTTCTCACTTTTAAGGAAAACATTTTCTTATTTCTTGCTCGACGCGATTTTAACCTTTTCGAAAAAAAAAAAAAAAGAACTCGATCATAAGGAATCATGTACGATAACTGGCTTATTTAAAGATAAAACAAAAATTCTATGAAAAAGGAAAGTAACAACGATTCCGATGCGATGTTCATAAAGTGAAGGATTATGATTTTATTTTTTAAGTTGTTTTTACCAGGTTTGCCAGAAAAACCAATGACTATGTATTCTTTAAATTATGCAATGGAATCGATTGTCTAAAATTCGTCCGTGTTAATCCAACTATAACTCTTGTTTGTCTACGGAGGCAAAACGAGTTCTTAACAAACGAGGAAACCGACGGATGACCGTCAGGAATACACCTGACTGTGTTTTCTCTTTAAATCGGATATTATTGAATATTCAATAATGAATCAATTCTGAACATTATTCCTAAAAAAATTGGCTAACTTTTTCAAGAACAGTACTCAACATTTTTGACAGCTAAACCGCCTCCCACGCCTATACTCTGTCCGGCGTCGTGAAGAGACACGAGATAAACGCGCCGTTGTTTGCACGTCGCGAGCATCCGTCCGCGCGAGCGGACGCCTCGAAATTGCCAGCAAATTACGATTATCGGGCTGAAATTGCCCAATCGTAGTTCTCCGTTTCGCGGTTCCCTCTGATCCCGCCTAATCTCAGCCCGATATAGCGAAAGTCCCCATCCTAAATACGCGGCGATCGGCGCCACGGCGTCGTACTTACTGGTGTCTTGGCAGGCCGCGAGGTCGAGGACCTCGATGATATGGTCCACGCACTGTATCTTCTGGGAGTGCGAGAGCGTGTCCGGAAGCCTCAGCCTCGCCTGGTACTGCAAAATTGCGATGCGTGATTCGCGAGGGCGGTTTAGGCGCTCTCGTTCGCCGCTCGTTTCAACGCAATCGCTTTAAAGCGCTGCACCACGGTTTACGCGCGCTGACGGACCGAACGCGCGCATTAAACAGCAATGTAAGCAAAACTGCGCCGCGCAACCACACAGTGGCTGCTGCAGCAGCGACGGCGACGGTGGATGCATTTCCGTTTCGTAATAACCAGGCCACTTTGTACTATTATTACCCGCCGGCTGAAACGCACGTCGGGCGGGGGAAGGCGCGCCCGTCATGATTCGATCGTTAAGTCAATTACGATGACGCGTCGATTGCGAAACCGCGGGCTGTTTTTATCGCGAAAAGGCGTCTGGGAGGCTCGTTAATAATCCGGCGAGGAAGCTCGCGGTATCGTCGCCGTCCAGGTATCCATCCATCCACCCATCCGTCGGAGAGCTTTTGAGTTATCTGGGCTAACGAAATTTCGCGTCCCAGTGGTGGGACAGGAGTTGCGTCGACTGTACAAACGGAATTTCTCTCTCTCTCTCTCTCTTTTTGTCCGCCTGTCTCTGTGTCGCGAGAAAATTTCAAATTTAATTCGGGAAACTTCGCATAGAGAAGCTCGCTGGCCTCGTTACGGGCAAACGAACGACGCGTTTCGATAATTAAGTTACACTGGCGGGCTGTATCGATAGAGAATACCGTTGGCACGGAATATTCTCTCCCGTACGAGAAATTACGCTCCTCTCGAGGAGCGATCTTACGAGCCGAGGTGAAACGTACCGCGCGGGGTCTATAGCTGTACTTGTCAAAAGGAAAATGTCGCTCTCGGGGATACTCGAGTACCATTAATGAAGCGCGTTCTTGCGCTCTTGCTATGTGTAACATCGCCACGGCGAGTCCGTGAGAGAAGTTGCCGAAGGTTTCGCTTTGAAGAGGTGAATTCGCATGAGTAAGTCGCGGTCAGACGTACGCGGATTCGTTAGAGCGGAGCGCTGCTTTTCAAAGTAACGAGTGAGCGAGTCGATATTTCAGCTCTATGTCAAACCTTTAATTCTACAATACGGCAGGAGCTAAGGTAGCAAAACAGATTCAAGTCTAACGATACATTTACCTCTCTACTTTAACCAAAATAGGTGGTTTGGTATTTAACAATTGAAATATCGAGAGCGCTTTTTACAGTTTTATTACTTATTTCAAGACAGTGTTAGAATTGAATGTCTGTACGCGAAGGAAAATAACTTGGCCGTTGCAGCGAAATCATCGTTGTTACTGCATATTCGTTGCGACAACGAGAAAACTTAACTGGCATGACCGAATCAACGAATTAATAATAACTACGGCAGAAACAGTTCTGTCGCCAGGATAGAAAATATTCCGTCGAGTTTGTCCTTAGATTAATTTGCTGTTAGAAAGAAGTAGTGGTGTTTTCTACATTTTCTAATTCGCTCTTACGACGAATTTAAATTAGAACGCGCAGTTTAACCGGAAGAAACTCGTCGGTGTGTCGTGCGACGGAATAGATTAGTGATATAATCGCGCGATGTAATCTTGGGCTTTTCGAAATTGGGTCGATTCGAATTCCGACATTCTCGTGGCAGCGGTTGAGGCGACGATCGAGAAATGTTAAAGCCTCTCGTCCGAATCTCACGAATCAAGGCGACGCGTGAGATCGCCATGGCGATATTATCGCCGCTGTCAGTGGAGTATCGATAACATCGGCTGTATCGAACGAACACGCCGTGTGTGTAACGTACCGTTATGCTCGTGGGTACACGTACACGCATGCACACATATACAAACACAAATGTGTTTTTTAATTTCGGGCGTCGAAAATCTGAGAGAGAGAGAGAGAGAAAGAGGGGCATTGCGCGGCTCCCATCCAGACAGACTTAGGATCTATCGGCGATGGCAGTTTATTTAATAACATCTACGAAATTATCATTACATTACCATGAAATCATTAAATTCGCATCATGCGATAATGTAATTTTTTCGTTACATCGATATTCAGCAAAAAAAGCGTATTAAAAAAGGATCTTCACAAATCGGCTGGAAAGTTGCCGCCGAATCGACGGTACACCTGTCTGGGCGGGCCTCCGAGAGTAGAGATGACGAAATCTCTCCTCGGTAATAATTTTCAAACGAATCCGCATCTCGAAACGGGGCCTCCTCGGAGCCTCTCGCGGCGGGTGACAACACGTCATCGAGGCCGGCGCGGATGGAGCATCCTTTACGCTCGCGATCGACAACGGAGGTCCGTGAGGATCTAAAGGCCGAGGACGGACGGACGGACGTACCGTTTCTCAACGTTCTCTCCTCATTCCCCTCGTGCCGTTACACAAGCGAGTCCGTTATGCGGAGAGAGAAAGTGCGGCTGATGATATTGTGTTCCCCACGCGGGAATACCAGTTATGTCTAAATAAAGATAGCGACGATATACACAGCCGGCTAGAACTGGACTTCGCTTGCTCCCGCGTGATTAGCTTCCTTATCACCGCGTCGTATGTCAGCCCCCCTCTCTCTTCCCTCCCTCGTTTCGGTATTCTATTTTCTCGCTATTCACCTATCTCACCCTTAATTACCTTAACATACTCGAGACGGGATTCTCTCCCTCTGCTTATTCCGATAAAACAATCGTGAACATCACACACGCGAGATCGAGAAGCGAGATAAGAGCGTACAAAGCGGCTTTCGCGCGATATCTTCCGGTATGTTCGCGTTTATCGGCGGTTTATCGCTCCGTTGATGCGGCGGCACCCGGGGGGGATCCGGTATCGACCCGCGAGGAGACATCGAGTCATCGTCATGGGGTTTTAACCCTTTCGCTACCGAGAGCCACCATAGAGCCCGCCTGCGAAGCGCATTTTTAAGAACTATTTTGGTCGTTCGACTCCCAACAATTGCGCTGTATTCAATATTATGAATTTAACACTCGTCGTAAATTGTATTTTGAGACATGCAAGCGAATGTCTACTTATACGAATGAAATATCATATTGCGTGATATATGGGTCAGCTGTATTTTTATTTTTCGTAAATATTCGCCAAGAAGTATCGAAGTCATCATTTTACTTGGATCAAATGAATATTTTTTGAACGGTAGCACTTTTGGATTTTTTAAGCGTATGACATAAATACCGCGCGTGCGTAACCTTGTTTACACCGCTATACGGAGAAAAATAATTTACCGTTGTGGCGAAACCCGTTGCTGCTGCATATTTATTGCGACAGCTATAAAATAGAGTTGGTACAATCAAATTAGCAAATTGTTCGTAATTAAAGCAGAAGCAATTTTATTACCAGGATAGAAAATGTTCTGCAGAGTGAATTTGTCTTTTAGCACACGTTAATTTGCTGTTGCGAACAAGCGTTTTCCTACATTTACTAATTTGTTCCTACGGCCGACTAATTTGTAGATTCGGCAAGATAATCCAGCGAATGACGATTGGGTATTCCCAACAAATCGTCTTTCTGTTCACGTAATATACCGAAAAATCAATTTGGCTGGGTCCACCCGACAATGAACAGCCGAGCGCGTTTCACTTGAAGGAAGCAAGATTTCTAGTTCTCACGAGCCGAAAATTTGATTCTCACAACCAGAAATTCCGCGTCACTCAAGCAAAACGCATTCCCTCGTCCATTGTCGGCTAGAACCAACCAGATTCAGTTTTCAGCGTAACCCCGACGGATCTCAGTGCGACAACGTGAAATTTGCTGGGCCCAGCAAATGATTTTCCCCCGTGTGGATTTCGCGCTGTGGGCGCTCATACTCTGTCGCTTTTCGGCTGAGCGCGAAAGGGTCGAAGGTCACGACGACGTGACACGTTACACGAGGCCCGCCGGAGTCATCCAGGTGAGCGTTTCGCAGGCCGTTGGGCGCGACCATAGATAACAGGAGGTCGTGCGCGCGATCAACACGGAAAGAGAGAGGAAACGGGAAAGAAGAATCGGGAGGGAAGAGAAAGTGTCATCCCGGCGCAGAGGCGCGGAATAGAGCAGCGTGTCCGGTCGTGGAACGTGCCTCTCTACGGCGTAGCCGTGCGGTATGCGTGCGTATAGACGCGGCGCCAAATGTTTTTGAAACCGTAAGACGCACGCCGCGCGCTCTCGCCGGTTCACTGACCGAGTTATGACGTCACCGGGCGCGATACCACGCGGCTCTCCGCCTCGCTGCTCAGCGCCGGTCCTCCTCCGGATCGTTCCCCGCTCTAACGGTCGCGACTAGACGAACGACGCGGTGCACGAACGGTGGTATCGCCGCCTTTTCACGCGCGTGTCGCACGCGCGTGCACGTGTGGGCGCCACACGTGACGCCTCTTTTCTCTCTCTCTCTCCCCCTCCCCCCTCTCTCTTTCTCTCCACCTCCTCTTCCTCTCGGCTTGCTCTTTCTCTCCGTATACTTGTTATATGTGTTTTTAACGAGCTCGCGGAAAGGAAGAGAGAGAAAGAGAGAGAGAGAGAGAGAGCTCTCACCGTCGCGAGATGTAGAACAGGCTGTCTGAATCCGTTCGATCGCGACCGGTCGATCGTGGAATGTAAAGTCGGATTATTTAGCCGTTCGCCTCTGAGACGCGTGACGCCTCGGTGACGATAAGAAAATAACGCTCGCGTTTTTCTTTTTTCTTCCCTTTCTTTCTTTTTTTCTCGCGCTCGTTACTCGTCGATCTTCCTCGCTGACGCATCCCGAGCGGTGCGTAATCGCACAGTTGCTCGGTGAGAGAGCGGCTCGCGCATTGTTCCCGTCGCGATTTCTTTCGCGCGTCTTGATACGCGAGAGTTTCTGCCTCGCGATGCGCCCCGCTTGCTCGCTCGTACGCACGTACGCACGCACACAAGGCGCTCCGACATATTTATTCAATTAGTGGCTGAACGACAAAGCACATATCTGTCCGCGTTCATTTTCCCGAGACCTCTTAAATCCCCCAAGTGCAGCTCGCGAGGGCACGCGGCACGAGTGCATTGGCTTCTAGCCCGCATTTGCATTCCCCGCGATCTTCGCGTACAGGGTGTCCTCCTAATTCCCGCCTCCTGCTGGGCGCGTGGGTCGTGATGGATATCGAGTGAAAGGTGCGCGCGGTTGTCTTGGCACGGCTGTCGGCTCGGCGATTTTCGTGGAAAACGAGGAAACGCGCCGCGATCTCGTCCCATCGCCCGGCTTTCTTTCTTGTCTCTGCTCTGACTTCGCGGTGGAACAGAAATGCATCCAACGGCGCCGATTGCGCTCGATTTCTCACCCATCATTCTCGCAGATCGATTCGAATTCGAAAGACTGTCGCGCTCGCTCCGGGCGTTTTCGCGCTGAAAGCATTGTTCCATATTCCTTCGGCATTCAATTGGCAACGAAGGTGAAACGACGCTTTCGGACAAAAGCGTGACAAAACGAGCCCACAGCCCATGAAGAAGCGAAATCAGCGCGACATTCGACCGAAGAATTATCGTTGAGGGCCCATGCGTGTCGCCCTGTGTTCGCGATTCACCTGCTTGTGCACGGGAAAAAAAGGTGTCGGAATCGAGTAAACGTAATCATCCGTTTCTTCTTCCATCTCTCGAATCGAATAGTATTTTTATCAGTTTATATTTTTATAGTTTCTAATAAATATTCACTTGAACGCAGTAATATCTTAATTTGTAAATGAATTACTGAAAGTTCTAAATTTAAGAGAGTATTTACTAGAATTATGCAATATTTCTTTTCCAATGAAGAAATCTACTGGTTTCAAATACTTTTCTGATCTTTCTGTCTAGTAAATATTTTTTTCTTTTAATCAATTCTGGTACCCTCAAACATTATGAATTTAATATTTGTTGCGACTTCTTCAACACATACAAGTAAATGTCTACTTACACGAAGGAAATATATCATAATGAATTATATTTCTATTTTTCGAGTGAACATTTGCCGAGGAGTATTGGAGTTGACCACTTCACTTGGATGTGCGAGGTAAATATTACCCGAGCGGTAGCACTTTTTTCCCCGTAATTAGTAATCGACGATCATCAACGAACTCACCTCGAGCGTCTGCCGTAGGGTGAGATCGGGGAAAAAAACATCCTGCTGTTGTACGTAGCAGATTCTCCTGCGCCACCGTTTGGTAAGCCTCTCGCGATTCAGCCAGATCTCACCGCCGTCCAAGCCAACGCGGCCGGACAAACAGTTCAGCAGTGTTGTTTTACCACAGCCTGTAACAAATGTGTCAGGCAAAAATTTAGCGCCTCCGCTCCGTTCTGTCGTACAAGCTTGTTGTTGGTACGTGTCGGCGGGAGTGTTTCCTCGCGTATCACGTGTCAAAAGTCTCACGCGTGAGTCGCGGGGAATCATCGCGCGGATTGCGCGAACGCGACGATAATGCATCCTCGTTAGCGCTCGCTCGATGGCATTTTAACGTCTCTCGTGCTGCGAAAATTAGTAGGTTCTCTCGGATACCTCGAGAAACATCTCGAGACGCGCATCCCGAGACACCTGGAGAATTTATTCGGAATTTATTCATATGCAAATATAAATTAGCCTCCCGTCGGGCGCGGCCGATCTGACAGGCGCGCAGCTTTTGCGTATTGAATCATTTTATTACGAAGGGAATTGATTTTGTACACAAGGAATCATAAATACTTGATCATTCCTTAGATCGCGAGTAGACAATTTTTGGCTCGACACTTACGCAAAAAAGAAACGCTAAATTCAAGTAAATTATTACTCCGATACGCCTTAGCGAATTTTTCCTTGGATCAAGTAAATATTACTTGACCTAAATAAAAGCTTGCCAAGGAGCATTGGAATAATTATTTGCTTGAACCCAGCATTCCTTTTTGTGTATGCATATAAAATGGAAAATCGTGCAAATATACGTCTTTATCACAATGACTGAACGTACAACTTTGCGATGACACATGTTACGCGTCATTTAAAAATTAAATCCCTCTGATTTGAATCAATTCGCCAATTTTAAGAGTTTAAAATACGTAGCAATCAACGTCGTGAGTGCATTTTGCAGGTTTACGGGGACGTCCGCGTTAAAGCGCCGATGAAAAGAGGAGAATCACGAGTTCGCCTCTAATTGCGTCGTAAAATTGCGGTTCCGCTGCGCGCGCGGAGGGAAACGGGGCCGGAACTTCACGTCGAAATAATTAAGATCGGTAAATTCCTGCTAGACGCGCGCGCGATGCGTCGAAAACGATCGCGTACGGACTTTCTCGCCGTTGGCGGCGATAAATATTCCAGCCGGGCGAAATTGCCCCGACCTCGTCTGTCTGTGTGCGCGCGCGCCTACGTGTATATGTATATATATATATATATTTATGTATATGTATATATACATATATTTCGTCGCTGCGCATAAAAGCGGTTAAAGATAGAAACGCAGACTTAATTCCACGCGACGTTCACGCAACACCGGCGCGATTAAGACCCCGCGCGAGAAATAACGCGGCCGGGCTCGAGAAAGAGCCCGTAATTGTGGCACGTCGTCGACGGCGAAGCGAACGTTCACGAAAGAAAAGTGCATGCGGAAATATAACAGAGCGCTCGAATAAACGCGATATTGAATATCGAATCCCGGAGTCGAAATTTGACGCTGCTCCGACGTTCTCAAGGATAATTTGCATCCACTCGGAGGGCCTACAGATATAAATAAAAACCTACTCCGACGATATTAACTTCTTAACACTTACCAACTTCTCTCTTGAATCTTTAATTCTACAAATAGAAGTATCACGTAATTCTAGTAACTACTCTTTTAAATTTAGAATCATATGACATGTTCAGCAATTTATTTACAAATCAATATATTACTGCGTTCAAGTATTCATCACAAAGCTATTAAAATACATTTAAATTGATGAAGATATTACTTGATTTAAGGAGAAACTGATAATCACGTTCACTTGATTCTAGCACTTTTTCCCTGTGCGTATCATTAGAATTGAAATTACCTATTTGCTGTTTTAGCTCCTACCGTGTTATAGAACCAAAGGTTCAACGCAGGACCAAAATTTCGACTTGGTTTTCCTTGTTCATTCTCTTTGTTAAAAAAAAAAAACGGTAGGAGGACGACGACTCTGGCGCGGAAAACACTATACCGTCTTTAATTATCGTGATCGGTTGTAATGCGCGCGTTCACGCGCGAAGTTCGAGAAGATGTGCGAGATCCACCGGACGATAGAACGAAGGTATTTACATACCTGAAGGGCCCATAACGGCCAATAATTCGCCCGGCTTGACAACCCCTGAGACATCTCGGAGAAGCGCTCGTTTCTCCCTGACCACCTGCAATCCTCGGAAGATTAGCTGCACCGGACGAGAATCCAGCGGGCACACCAACTGCAGCGCTGAGCTTTCCACTCTGCAATCAAACACGGAATACCGTGCATTCGATTAACCTGTCTCTTTCTTTTTCTCTCTCTCTCTCTCTCTCTCTCTCTCTCGCTCTCTCTTTCTTCCGACTACTTTCTTTCCTCTCTCTCTATTATTCTATTTTTCTCACTCCGGTTCTCCCGTTCTTTACTTCCACCAAAATGTGAGAATCTCGAACGACTCGGGGCTACAAATGGGGGTAATTTTCCATTACTTTACGTACATTTAACATGCGATATATTTGAAACCGCCATATCGTTGTAAGCTGAGCTGGCAAAAATGTTCATTCTCGGATGTTTTATTCAGCGAATTCTCCGAATTCTTTTCTCTCGGCTTACTTTTTTTTTTAAACCTTAAAAAACGGAGAAATACAGAAAAAAATGCTATCGTTCTGAGCAAAGTGGAATTTCCAAGAGAAATGTTCGTTTCGTCCGAAAACTGTGCCGATTTCGCGCACGAGGTCACTTCTTCCGAGCCATCGATATTCTATTCCTAAGTGAACACTGTTATTCACCGGTGATTTTGACGCCGGCATAAAATTTCCGCGCCGGCTTTTACACGTTTCGCTATCAGTTACCTTAACGGTTCTTTACTATTTCTTCTGTCCATTTTTTCTCTCTCTTTCTCTCTCTCTCTCTCTCTCTTCTGCGGGGTTGCAGTAAAACACCGGGATAGACATTTCGCATACGAGACCCCGGAGTTATCGCCGGTGCTAATCGTGTTAATTACCTCTCCGCCAGATCTAGATAGCTCTACACACCTCTCGCCACTAAAATGTTTTCGCAAAGAGGGGAAAAAAGAACAAAAAAAAAAGAAAGAGAAAGAGAGAGAGAAAGAAAGAAAGAAAAGCACGCGTTGATTGTCGCGACGATTTTATCGAGGGATATGGCGCGTTGGCGGAGATTAACCCGAATTTAACGTTTCGCAGAAACATTCGCGAATATCCCATAAAAGCGCGACTTTGGCGCATTCGGGCGAGTTTCGGTGGTCTAGCTCTCGCCGTGGGATGTGACGTGCGTGCGTGCGTGTGTGTGTGTGTGTGTGTGCATGCGCAGTCGTTAAAAGAGAAGCGACGTGGGTTCTAGGCAGGCGTTTACTCGGTCCGCGCGCGAGCACGGCCGCGAGGAACGAGCTTCATAATAACAATGACGTCTCATGGGAGTTATTCCGCGACGGCAATTAAGCCCTGGCGTGCGTTACGCCGAGAAATGGCGTTTCGCAGTGTAGGAGGCCTCGCGCGCGCGATTCCGCTGGCGGATCTCTCTCTCTCTCTCTCTCTCTCTCTCTCTCTCTCTCCCTCCCTCTTCACCCCACCTGCCGCCGATTAGCCACTCTCTTATTTCCCAAGGCCGTCGTTCCTTGCGAGATTCGTCGCGATCCCGGACGGACATTCCCTCGGCTTCCTCTCTTCCGTCCCCCTGCCCTCGAAAATCATCCACAAACGCGAGTGAAGAAGTTGATAGCGGAATAAATACACCGAGGAAAAAATATCTGAAAGTTCATTCGTGGGATATAAAGTTTATCTCACGGAAATAATATATTTATTTATGTACATATAATTTTCTCATAATAATTTGTATTTAATTTATATTCGATTTATATATTTTAATATAATTATAATTTTAATTATATATATAATTTTAAACGAAACGTAATTTTAACAAACAGATTTACACATATAAGATTTATTTCACAGATTACTATATAAATAAATTCACTTTATTTATAACCTTATTTATCTAAAAAAAAAAAGGAAAATCTTTTCTCAATGTATTCAGCAAACGTTTCACGTGCGCGCGCATAATTGCGCCATATCCTCCTCCTACTCCCCTGAGCACCCGCTATGACGAAAATGTTATTACACGGAACCTAGGCGCTTTATCGTTCCGCGTTCCCGCAAGATAATAGTAACGAACCCGGCGCGATAAGACACTTGCGTAAACTTCGGCGCGTTCGCTCGCTCGCTCGCTCATGGCGATACGCGGAGTCGCAAAGGCGCGCGCATTGGACAACCGTCCATCGCGGCGCGACAAAAAAGGAAGGGAAAAACGGAGAGAAAAATCGGTGCGCGGCGTTACACGACGGGGGTCTCCTCCTCCGTGACGACGGCGCGCACGTCGTGCGTGACGCGCACCCCGCGTCGTCGTCCCGGCGGCGGCGGCGGCCCTCGCTGCGAAATCGGGAAGAAACTAAGCCAAGAACGCGTGCTCGAATCGCACGGTGTGCACTCGCCGAAAAAAGGAACAACAACCGGGGGTCGTTGGACAACGGACTCAGATAATAAATTCCCAACATGGCGGTATCACGTCATCTCGAGTTCATTGAACCCACGCTGTTGCGCGACGATATCCAGAGGGAAGAAAGAGCGGGGGTACACGGGAGGAGAAAGAGCGAGAGAGCGAAAGACAAAGAGAGAGAAAGACACTTCTACTGTTCGTTTCTCGTGCCTCCCCTTCCTCCCCCACCGTCGGCGACGAGAGAGATTCGCCCCCGAAGCCAATACGCCGAGTAGGCGCGGTAGCGTGGATTAATGACGTAACGAGAGTCATGGTTATTTTCGGAAAATGATCTCTCATTGAAGGAAAATCCGTGCCGCCGAAGCCGCCCCCGCCGACGCTTTTATCGAAACATTCGCGGGCATCCGTCACCGTCAGCGGCGTTTCACACGGATATAGATTTTACGATAATAATAACAGAGAGCGCGCCTAAAAGAGCGCCCCGCGCTTTCTTCTCATTTCTCAGACGTCTCGCTCCTGTGACAGTGTGACAGCGCGTTTAACATTCGGCAGCGTAGAAAAAAAGAGACCGGGGCACGGGGGAAGTGATGAAAGCGGGGAGGAGCTAAAGAGGGAAATAAAAGGGAGCGAGAAGGAAGAAGAAGCGAAGGGCGAGGAAAAAAGAGAGAGAGGGAAAGAGACTCCTCAGCCGACGGGTTTCGTCCGTTTGAGTGATATTTATCGTTCTCGCTATTCTGTCGGAGGCACCGTCGACCCCGTTGAAATAACATCGGGTTTACTCAGTGTCACAGGCGTACATGCGACATACGCGCGCGCACGAAAGAGAGAGAAAAGGAGAGACGCAATTATCCCTCAGGCTCGGCCGAGAGAAGGCGCGACTCCTCCTCGCCCTCATGCCGGATCGGGGATGTAATTTCGTAACGCGCGAGCGAGCGGACGAGCAGTGCGCGATTACAGTGATCGCACGGTTCCGCGGCTGAATTGAAGGGTTGCCATGGAGCGTGACCGTTCAATCACGCGTGAATGATTGCGCGAATTAATTTCGCCATCTCGCGCCCGGCCAGAAGTTAATTTCTCGATTTCGTCGCACCGCCTTCGTTGCCTGCCGCGCACACCCACATACGGTGTACGCATACACGTGGAACGGAGCTCTTAACCGCCGGCGACCGTGTCAAGTCGGGGTCGCGCGAAGGGGTTAAGTCTCGTTGAAGGAAGTTACGGGGAGCACGCCGAATGAATCCTCCGCGCGAGTTCGTCGACCCCCCTGGCGCGCCGGCTTTTTTGCGCGCTATCGCGCGCTTTTTCCGCTTTCGCACGCGCCAAACGTGACGCATGCTCGCATGTTCGTTACGACGGCACCACCGGTCGTCGTCCCGGCGGCCCCGGATACTGACGGGGAGTCCTCGAACGACATAACAAACCGCGTAAACCGAGACGCGTGTTTCTCTTCCCGGCTGATCTCGCACGTTCGCCCGGCACGGATCAAATGTTATCGAAGCGATGAGATACCACGGCAGAAGGATGGATCCCGAGCCGAAAACGTGCGGGCAGCTTCCACAACGGCGATCTTTCGAGCTCACGACGAACGAATGTAGCGTGCAGATTTTTGTTTATTCACCGAGCGAATCGCGTGTGTAAACAGCCCTGGTAGAAGTTCAAACTCGTCGTGTATTTATTTATTTATACTTGCGGACAACTATCCGTTAATTCGCACGTTCACGAAAGAGACGGTAGACTCGTGTCGTCTGATTTGAGTTCCGTACATATTTCAAGCGCATCGGGAATTAAGAAGAAACAATTGTCGAACGTTCGTCCCCCGCTGCGGCGTTCGGTTCCGTCACCTTCTCTTCAATGTCACGTTTCAATGTCGAGCGGAGGTCTCGCGGGTTAAGTCCCGCCGAAGAAAGTTGAATTCACCAAATTAACCCCGCCCGGGTTCGTTGAACCGATGCGGAGATACGCGCGCGTAATTAATAATTGGACCTCGTGTGTATCCCGGCGCGATCTGCGCTTTCGTGCGCGCGCCCTTCGCGACTCCGTTCCCGATCCGCGGTATTTATCGCAAACCCCGGGCGATTAACTTTCCCTAAACCGTCGGGCAACAATGAGCCGAGAGAACCGCCAAGTTTCCCGGCCGCGATAACATTTCCGCCTGGCGCGCGAATCCCCACGAGACTCGTTGGAGCTTATCGTAACTGTATCCGTACCTATTTCAAGTAGCTCAGCACGAGGCGGGCCGGAGTCAATTGTAATGATAATAAGGGGACATGTTGACGTTCCACGGTAACGCGAATCGTTAATAGCCGAATATACGCTTCGATATGTAGCGCAAATAGAAGTGTTAGCGGAGCAGCCGGCGCGGATGAAATCTCCGTGCAAAATACCGGGAGCGAGATCCGATCTCCCGCGGTGCCTCGGGACGGTGTTTCCTTACAATGAAATACACCGCACTGAGAGAAAAAATATTTATTCAACGGGTGCTAATAACGTATTTACTTGAATCTCGATCTCTTTGTTTAAATAGGACAAATAATACCGCTTTCATGCAAAGTTCCATATTTTAAAAAATATATATATTCTCTCATTTAAACCCCCCCTCCCCCGATGTAAAAATATGTATATTGGTGCAAGTAAATATGTTGTTGATGCCCCGCCGAGTAAAAAAATATATTTTGCATTTTTTACGTTTTTCTCTCAGTGTATACAGGGTGTCCTGAACTAATCTCGGTTCGTTGCTGGGAGATCTTCAGAA